AGAAGAGAAAACATTGTTAAGGCATATATTTCTAGTATAAACTCTAATAGGGTAGGGAAATCCATCAAGAAGAAAGGACCCAGGACAAACTCAGGGCTTTGATCAGTTGGTTGCCTCTGTTGGTGGAGATACAAGATGGGCTGAAGATTGGAGTGCTTGGAAGCCTTTAAGCGGAGTACTTAGACCCAGGATTTCTTTCTATATCCTATACAGTGAGATGACTATCCCTCCTCGGTGCCAGAGAAGAATGGAGGATTACCATAATGAATGGTAAAACTCAGCCTCCTTTCCTACTCATTGGCTTATACTCTACCTCAGCCCCCATCCCACTGACCCATTCAGGAGATTGGAAGACTCTTGGGACATATCAAAAGCCAAGGGAAAGTCTTATAACTACTCATAGTTTAGGGTTCCCCCCTCAATAAAATGGGGAGCTTGTTTCCATCTAATCACTCTATTTTCAGGCCCACTGATGGACAACTCTGCCATTTCCATATTCTGATTAGCAGTTTATGACTTTCCTCTTAAATAGAAATCAGCAGTCAAGGAGAACTAAAAATGTGAAGCTACCCTTTAATGTGAGAAGCACCAAACAAGTTTGAACTTACTCTCTGTTTTCTTTACAAATTTCCTAGGAGAAATATTCCTTAGGGGATATTTCCACTAGGGAAAAACAAAACCTATGTTTAACAGCTTCAGAGACCTAGGAGAAGATGTTGTATCCATTAAATAAAAGCAGGAGGATATAAAAAGTAACTGTCGCAGAATAAAAACGAAAAAGCTCTTGGAAATTAAAAATATGATCACGATAATTTAAAAGGCAATGAAAACTTGAAAAAAAAACCCAGAATGTTGAACCAAAAAAAGAAAAAAAAGGAAAAAGAAAATAAATTATCAAAGAAATAAAGCAAGAAACTTTCCTTGAAGTGAAGGACATGAATTTTCAGATTATGAGTGTTCTGTCAGTACTCATAATAAATAAAAATGGTCTACACCAAGGCACATGATCATGATATTTTAGAACATTGATGAGAAGGTTCTGAGATAGAGAGCTCAAATGCCTATGCCAAGAAGAAAGAAAGAAAGAAAGAAAGAAAGAAAGAAAGAAAGAAAGAAAGAAAGAAAGAAAGAAAGAAAGAAAATAGAAATAGAAAACAATGGACAATATTTTCAAAATCTGAGTGAAAATGATTTCCAACCTAAAATTCCATCTCCAGAAAAATCTATCTATCATATAATGGTGAATGTGCTCCACCAAAGTGAGAAAGGAAACTGAGAATGAGGAACAAATAGGATCGAGGAAAAAGGAATAAACTGAGATGAACAGAAAGAAAATTAAACAAGTGGAAAGTGAGGGAATTCCTGATGAAAAGTGAAAGAAATGTATAAGGAAATATAATCAAAGTACACTATGTGCCTCAGCTGGGAATAAATCATATTTACGTGGCTTAATAATGTAAACCCTGAATATCCTTCTATCAAATGCATATCTGATATTATCACATTGGGAGAATGTAAATAGGGTAGGGATATGTTTTATTTGGGTAGAGGGTGATATCCAAGTATTTCTGTTAAATACATCATTTTAATACAAGCATCAGGAAGGTGTGAGTTTTTGTTTTGTCCACCATGAATTGCTAGTACCTAGAACAATGTCTGGCACATAGTAGGCCCTCAATAAATATTTGTAGCATGAATGAAACTTTCTTCTAAGGAATATTTCTCCTAGGAAATTTGTAAAGAACACAGAGTAGGTCAAAGTAAATGAAAATAAACTTCAAGAAGGTTAGTACATGGAATCTGTTTCTCTCTAAAATTGTAAGACTAGCAGTTTCAAAATTTAAAAGTAATTACATAAGATAGTTAAACTGAGCATCAAAATACTTGAGACAATTTAAAAGCACAAGAAATTTCTATGAAATTATTCTTTATAAATCTTTATGCCAGCTGGTTTGATTGGAGATGCCTTGGAGCTCAGAACAGTTCCAGGGAAGTCAAAATGTAATTTTCTCAATTTAGAAAGCAAGTTATTGTATTGACTTTTTCTTCCATTCACTCACTGATATAATACAAGGATGGGGTGAGGAAAACTGCCTTGTGTGCTTCTCGAGCTGGTGAGCTTCTGAAGAGAAGAAGCCCTCAGTACTTGCTCTCATAACAGATTCCAGGACACTGATTCCTTCCATTCAATAAAGAGGTGCGTCTTTGGACCAAGGATCTGTTTTGCCATCTAATGGATCTAAATTGGGTCTATTTAGTTCAACTTGGCTGCGAATTCACTGCCGACTCTTACTGTAATGAACCCATGGAACTCTTCACTCATTCATCCTCTTGCTCACTCCCCCTTCACTGGACATTTGCTGCACACCTACTGTGCGCCAGGTACTGTGCAAAGACAGGAGGAAGAAGATTATGTCAAATAATTCTGGGTGCTTGGAGCTAAAATAGCCGGCCCTATTGGAGCTCGCAAGAAGATGTTCAAAGCGCGGATCCAGGTATATTGGTGTTAAGATCTGCCTCTGGGTCGGGTGCACACTCCTGTTAGAGTGCAGGCAGCTGATCCCAGTTCAGCCCTCTCCAGCCCTCAACCCCAAGGATTCAAAGTTGCCCCCAGATTCATATTTGTGGGCCTCCCGGGGAGGCCAAACCCCGACCTCACTCCTCCCGCGCGCCTCGCCAGCTTCCCCCGCTCAGCGAGCCACTAACTTCGTCCAAGCTGAGCAGCTTGGGGCTCTAGGGTCCGGGGCCTTACGGATCTTCTCTCTGACCCCTCCCCCCTCACCTTCTCCCGACATGGGCCCAGCTATTTCTCCCAGTCCCCAGAGCTCAGGGGTGGGGGTGGGGGATGGTCCAACCCCGAAATGCTAGAGCGGGCTACATGCTCTGCCAGACCTCAGAGACGGGTGGCAGTGGTCCGGAAAGAGGCGGTGTGGAGGGCAGAGGCGTCAGTTAGGTAGTGTCTCCCAGCCGTGCCTTTCCACTCCTGCTGGAATCAGGGGACAGCGACCGAGAGGTCTGTCCTATTTGCAGGGCTTTGGAAAGAGGAAGGGCCCTGTCCCCCCTCCGCGTCCGCTATGGCCCTGGGCCACGTTGTAGGTGCCACGCTGCGTTCAGGGGTTAGGGGCGACTCTGGGTCATGAAGCCACTGTGCACTCTGCCTGCTGGCGTAGCAAGAAGGCCCCGCAAGAGCGGCTGGCTTTGAGGGTCAGGATTCTTTGGGATGTTGCCTGGAGTTTTTGTTGCCCAGGTGCTAGAGGACAACCCGTCGTCGCTCCGAAGGCAGGGTCCTGCAACAGCAAAAGACAGACCCACAGGGCAGCCCCTGAGCGCCTTTCTGAACTGCAGAAGCAGGAAGCACCAGCGGGTGGGATGCCGCGAGCCTCTGGGCGAGGCTTCTCTAGAGGCTACCCGAAGTTAGGAGGGGCCCGAGGGCGCTTTGGGGAGGCACAGCCCCCATCCCAAGAAAGGGCTAGCCTAAGGTCCGGAGGGTGGGTGATACTTCTTCACTTTTTCCCCACTGCCTCTACCTACCAGTCCACTCTGCGCTCCTTTCCGTAAGAGCCCGGGATCTTTTCCCCTCGCCCGGTGCTGTGAGTACCCGCAGCGCCGACTCCGAGAAACTGCCTTTCCTCAAGAAAGAAGGTAGAGGCTGAGTCCATGCGCCCGGATGTGCGTGCTTGGGGAACAGTGTGCACCCGTGTGTGTGTGTGTGTGTGTGTGTGTGTGTGTGTGTGTGTGTGTGTGTGTGTGTAAAACGTGCCTGTTTCCTAAAGCAGAAACTCTGGGGGCTGCTTTCGGGTCTGGGAGAAGTTGGTTTGGGTTGTTGCGCGCGCGCTCACTTGCAAACAGCTCGCGAAGGCACGTCTGTTGCAGCAAGTGCTGGCTATTGACAGAAGTGTCCGTGTGTGAATGTGAAAGGCAGAGCTGGTGGCTGGGGACCAGGTGTATGAGCCCGGGACGTGCGCCCCGCGGGCAGTGTGAGCGCGCTCACCAGCGGCCTGTAGCTGAGAGGGGCGCGTGTGTGAAAGTCTGAAGTCTGCCCTTAAGGCTTGCAGCACGGGCTCTCCTTTGCGGGACCGCTCAGGACGAGCGCCCACTCGACAATGAAGCGCTTCAGAGAAGTGGGGCAGGGGTATGGAGCGAGACGGGCAGAAACCTGGGCACAGGCTGTCCCAGCCCAGCAGCTTAGCAAACAGAAGCCAGAAGCACAGGACAGCTGTGTAAACCAACTCCGGCGGCGCCGCAGTGCAGGGTCCTGGGTTAGAGGGGGGCATGCTGAACCCACAGTCGAGGTTTCTGGAGTAGGAGGGAAATGCCTAGCACTACTTGTAGCCAGTGGCAGCTTAGCCCCTTCCCCAGTCCTCCTGACCACTCCTACCGGTCCCAGAGAAGTGAGGCGAAGGAGGCTTGGCTGGCTGCCAGACTAGAAGCAAAACGACTTTGAGGGGTGCAGGGTGCCGGGGCGCAGGTGGCCTGGGGAGTGAGGAAAGTGCGGAGGTTATCTCAGGGGCACCCAAGGTGGTCCAAAGAGATCAATGTTTCAGGGCCCCTCTTCCCTCCCTCCCCCAGCCCCTCCCTGCTCCATCCAACTCCTTCACAGTGGGCTATTTCAGCTGAGATCCCTTTTTAGAACCCAGGACTCCTCGGGGTCCAGGTGGCCAGATGGGGTCCTTACTGGCATAGCAAGAGGGGCTTCAAGACTAGAGTTCAGGCACCAAGACAGTGAGAGAAGCTCTGGTCCCTCACTGTGGCTGACTCCAAGCTCTCCTCCATTGGCCCTCATTTTCTGGACGTCGTCGAAAGCTCTCCACCCCTCCCTGCCCTCCCGCTCTCCAAGCAATGACCTCATTGCAAAAGACAGCCAGAGCGGATGGTTCCCCTCCCTAGAGAACCAGTGCAGGGAGAGCGAGCAATGACGCCACTGGAGCTGGGTCGGTCCTGGCTACTTTGGATTGGCCGCGCGGACTCGTGGGGACCCCCCTCCCACTGTCGCTGGAATAAGAGCCGAGAGCTCCGCGGGGAAGACGCCCGCAGCAGGCGTTGTGTCCAACGGGGTGGACCGGCCGCTCGCGCTCTCCAGAAACTCGTCTCCAGGTGAGGAACTCCCCCCTCTGCCCACTCTAATAACTTGCCTCTGGATTAGTTCATCTAGTTTGCTCCATCTGTCTGCCTTTCCTTTGCCTCTCACGGGCATCGCGGCCCACCTACGGCAGGTGCTCCTAGCTCTCTGTCCCGCTCAGGGGAAGGGGGGCGGTTGAGAGGAGAGCATTTTCTTCTAATTAGCACAGATGGAACTTCAAGCATTCCCAGGGCTTGCCTGGGCGCTGGAAGCTCCGCGAGCTCAGGTAGGCGGGTCTGCGGCCCCTTCTTAGAACCCCTGGGCGTGCAGAATCCTGCTCGAATTTGGTCTGGGAATGCCCTGCGCGGTCTGTGTCCTGAGGGATCATGTTTGATTCTCGGGACGGTGCAGCCTTGAGCTTTCTTGTGAGGCGCCGCCAGCCCACGAGCGTCCCTGGGGCACGGAGGGGACCTGCGACTGTGCAGTCAGCCGCGCAGGACAAGGGGGCTCACTTCCAGATGCTGGCGCCCAGCACCCACTGCCAAACTGCGCTCCAGCGTAGACGGGCTGGGCCGGCAGAGCCCTGACACACCGGTAACTGCACATTTAAAATCTTCCTCCAATCCAAACCCAGATACTGGGTGGATAGACCAGTGCTCCTTTCCAAGGTACCCTTCCTGCTTTCCTGTCCCATGCGTTAGTGCCAAGTCCAAAAGAAAGGGGTAGGTGGTCCTAGATTTCTCAGTTCCTGAGAAGACTAGAGCAATGGGAGAACAAATTGACATTAGGGTGGGTCCCCGCTTGTTTTCTGCAAAGGGCGGAAGGAAGGTGTGGGTTTGTGTGCATGCATGCACTCGTTTGTGGCTTCTCCCCGATTTCCACAGAACTCCACCACACCCTGAGACACTTGTTTCTGCTCTACAAAACCATTCATTGCACTGTATCTTTTGAGATTCACAGCAGCCCATCTGGCAAATGAATGGAGATATGGGGAGGTGGGGTAACCTGAGGCCACAAGACCTGCGCGGGAGAGCAGGCACTTAGGTCTGTGGGCCCCAGGCCTTGGCTGGTCTTGGCGCAGTGGTAATATCATTCTCTCTTTACAGAGAGGCATCATGGGCTTCGGGAAGTCCTCCCCCTTTCTGGCTTTCAGCATCTTGGTCCTGTGCCAGGCAGGCAGCCTCCAGGCGGCACCATTCAGGTGAGACAGCCGGAAGCCACAGAACACTCCCCTTCTACTGCCCCTGGGCTGAGGCAGTTCTGTGCCTCTGAGGTCACAGCAGCAAGGCTCCTGGTGCATTAAGACCCTCAGATGGACCTCAGATTGGGCCTTGTGGGTTGGGAGTCGGGGGAGGGGGCACATCCTCAGGGTAGGTCACAGGGACCGGGAAGCCTTGCTACTTGTCACGGGGTAGAGGCAGTCAGGGGCTCAGAGCCTCTCTTGGATTTGCTTCCCCCCTGAAGGTCTGCTTTGGAGAGCCTCCCAGACCCCACCACACTCAGTGAGAAGGAAGGGCGCCTCCTGCTGGCTGCCCTGGTGAAGGCCTATGTGCAGGGGAAGACAAATGAACTGGAGCAGGAGCAGGAGCAGGAGGAGACAGAGGGCTCCAGGTAAGGCTCCCACCCTGCCCTGGCATATACCCCAGGAAATACAACATCTGGCCAGGGCGCCAGCAGGCTGTGGTTGTTCATCAGGCCCTAGGGCCCAGTCATTCTCAAGCTCTGAGGAAGACAGAGGTCCAGGTGTAGCTGAAGAGACTGTGGTTAGACAAAAAGACACATTCCTGAAAGCTTTTAGGAAATGAAATGGGGAGGTACGGAATCACTTACTCGGGGGGAATTTGTCTTGCCCTAAGGAAACTCCCAGCATTGGCTGACTTGGGACCGGTAAGTGTGAAGCCAGGGGATGGACTCAGCATATCTCAGGATGTTTTAGAAATTTAACCTGTGTGTGTTGTTCTTTCACACCCACAAGGAGCCTTCATTGCACATTTGCAAGGTGAAGCCAAAGGCCTTGCAGAGGGTGGGGTCAGGTAGAGCAGTACCTGAGGTAGGTCTGGGGGCTTGAGATGTGTAGGATCTGTGGAGACGTGCATGTTGTCATGGGGCCAGAAACCCTTCCCCAGCCCCACCTCCCCGTGTCCCCTGAGCCTGGAGCTCACGCCAGCCCCTGGCCCGGCCCCGGCACTGCCTGGCATGTGCTGCACCTGCATCTACCCTAAGGACCCCTCTGCAGAGCAGGGACTGAGAAGCATGCGGAAGGCTAGGAAAGGGCACCCCTTCCCCGCTGCAACTCTGCCCCACGCTGCCCTGGCTCAGCAAGCCTCGGAGTTCTCCTAATGGAGGATATGTGAGCTGCCCTCCTGCCTGCCCCTCCTGCCTCTGCTCCAGGTGCCCCTCCCTCGTCTAACTTTCTGCATGACTGCCCTCAGGGGCGGGCCTGGCGCATGGTATTGTCTGGCATGTCTTTTCCCTGCAGCCTGGACAGCTTCCGAGCTAAGCGGTGCAGTAATCTGAGTACCTGTGTGCTGGGCGCATACTCGAAGGACCTGAACAACTTTCATACATTCTCTGGCATCGGCTTCGGGGCTGAAACACCTGGCAAGAAAAGGGACATAGCCAGCAGCTTGGAGAAGGGCCAGTAACCCCGCTTTGGGGTGCCCCAGGATGGCAACCAGACTCCTTCCACTCCTTCCTGATTTCCCTTCTTGCTCCCATTTTTGAACTAAATGCATGCAGATTCCACTTTGATTGCTCTTCAAGCTGGTATTGGTAGCTTTGCTTATCACAGAGAATATGGGGGACCTCAGGATGGAAGGGAAGAGAGCAGGACTCATAGGCCAGGTTAGAGGCAAGAGTGAGGGAAGCTTCTTGAGATCCCAGAGGATTTCATGGTAGAGTCCCCAATTTCTGCTGCATCCTTCATGTTTCATCATTGATGAATAAACCTATTTTCTAAAAGGATTTGCACTGTGGTGGTCATTACTCTGGTCGTGTCCAAGGCTTGAAAGTACCCAGAACCTATGCTTAAAAGTAGCGTTAGCCTCAGGGTAGCTGGGTAGAGGGCTTGGTGAGTGGTCCTTGTGAACCAGTTCCACCATCAAGAACAGGTGTGCTGAGAAACAGGTAAACACTTCTGGGGGAGGATGCTGTTTCCCTCTTCTCACAGCCTCTTTCAGGTAAGACGTCAGGGAATTTTCCTTTCCCATGGAAGGTGGTTTTGATGGTGCCTGTGGCTGCTCTATGGTTTCTCTATGCTCCTTGCATGTCTTGGGATTGGGCTGGGCCTTTGGTGACCACTTCATCCTGGTTCTAAAGAGACTGTATGTGACGGTAAGTGCTGATTTCAGTACATGCCTCATGGCTTGACACGGGGTTTTTCCTTTTTCTTTTTTTTTTAAAGTTTTTATTTAAATTCCAGTTAGTTGACATACAGCGTAATATTAGCTTCACGTGTATGATATGGTGATGCAACACTTCCATACAACAGCCAGTGCTCATCACATTGGCACTGGGTTTTTTTTCACGAAGGTCTTTGGGCAGTGCTCCTAGCAAAAGCTGCCAGGCCACTTCTCCTAACAGCTTTGATAATTGCATTTAGGAGAAACACTTATTCTTAAGCGGTATGTCGAAGAGCTGAAATTCTCTTTATGAAGGCCTCAGGGGCAGGCTCCTGCCCCTCGCCTCTCACTGACAGACCTCTTCTTTCTCCATCCTGCAAATCAGCGTCACTGCCCAGAAGAGATCCTGCAACACTGCCACCTGTGTGACCCATCGGCTGGCAGGCTTGCTGAGCAGATCTGGAGGTGTTGTGAAGAACAACTTTGTGCCCACCAACGTGGGCTCCGAAGCCTTTGGCCGTCGCCGCAGGGACCTTCATGCCTGAGCAGCTCAGTGACTCCAGGAAGAAGGTGACTGCCCTTTTCCGTTGGGTCGGAGGGGAGGGGATTTGGGGGTTATGAGCTACATTATGAAACCCACTGGACCTGGGAAGGGTCTTCAGATCCCTTTTTTCCAATTACATGCTTCCTTCTCAGTGGTGAGATTCTTCCACAACTCAGCCTGAAATCAGAGCGTTGACACAGGCTGCAGACATGCAGCGTCATCTCTCTGAGAAGAGAAATGAGAAATAAAATGCTTGCCAAATGATAATTGCTTTTTTTCCCGTTATTTGCCTTAAAAGTCTGTCTACATCTCATACCTATAGGTTGTAAATGCTGTTTTCCTGTACATTTGTGTTCTTTTTATAATAATTGTGGTTGTTTCCTTCTTGTCCTTCTTATTCGCCAACACCTCCTTCTTCTCCTTCTCTACTTCCTCTTCCTTCTTCCTTCTTTGTCTTCTTTTTTTATTTTATTTTTTTCCCATCTCAGGTCACCATGAAGCTGAACTCACCACTTCTGTTAATTTCTGTTGACAACACTTGGTGGGAAGGCCCCATGGAAGATATACATGTTTGCATCCCAATAGATACTGAAAAAAGCACCTTTGTCACTTACAAGGAATGAAAGTGAATGCAAAATAAGCTAATTCCATATGTATTATGTATCCTTTTTATATTTGACTCTGTGTGTGTCAGTGTGGTGGTGGCATCTATCGTTGGCTTATCTGGTAGCAAACTGGTTCTTTGAGAGCTATCCTGTTGATCACAGCAGCTCTGCAAACCTTAGGGGGACAATAAGTCATTGCCTTTGTGGCCTCTGGGGACATGTGGTAATGGTGATGCTTTGCCTTGTTGTCTAAGAACATGACTGTAGACTTTATTTAAGGAAATCTCAATGTTGTATCATTTGTGAACTTCATCAAGATTAAAAACATATTTTGGATACATGTGTTTTGAGACCCTGGTGATTCATTTCAACTTGTTTCCCTATGTAATAATTCCCTATGACACTAACAGTTGACATGTTTTGAGTGCTTACTCAAATTGGGATAGTTGATATTCTAAGACAGTGTTTTATATGTATTAATTCATTTAATCTTTATGACAACTCCACGAAGGAGATACCATTGGTATTTCCACATTGCCTCTGAAGAAACAGAGGCCTGGAGAAGTGAAGTCCAAGGTCACAGAGATAGACAATAGTAGACTCAGGTGTTGGTTTCCAGAGCCTACAGTTGAAACCACTGCATTAAATGCTTCTTGACAATGGCTTCTGATGAGTTCCAGAGACCTGTGAGCCGTTCTTTGACCTAACTGCCTCACATGGCAGACCCTCAGATTTTGAAGACAAATGGACCGTGTTAAAACATACAAACAACCTAGTCTTTATATAATAAAATGGATCCCTTTTACCCATTGCTTGGTGCTACATGTTGGAAAGTTTGTGTGCCCTCCCTCCATCCCCACCCTACCCTGCCTAGCCAAAAAATTGTATATTGAAACCTAAGCCCCAAAGTGATGGTCTTGGGAGGTGGGAACTTGGGGAGGTGATTAGGTCATAAGGGTCATCCCCTCCTGAATGGGACCAGTGCCCTTTCAAATAAGGGTGGAGAGAATTCCCTTGCTTCTTTTGCCATGTGGGGCCACAGTGAGAAGAACTGCTGTGAGGAAAGGGGCCCCCACCAGATGTGAATCTGCCGGTGCCTTGAACTTGGATTTCCCAGCCTTTAGAACTGAGAAATAAATATTTGTTGTTTATAAGCCACCTGGTCTGTGGCATTTTGTTACAGCCGTCCCAGCGGACTAATGAAGACACTTGGCTTCAACACGTGATCCTTTTATGGTCAATGTTATTACACCTATGTGCCATCTCTTACACCGCCCAGGTGTATTGTAACATCTATAGATCCATAAATATTTCCCCGTATATGGGAGGGATGTTTAAACATAACCACAGTCCCATTTAACAACTAAAGTAAATTAACATTAATTTCTTAATTCCTTCATCTCACATCCAGTCATGGTTCAAATTCCTCCATTATCTTATATATGTGTATGTTTGGTGTCTATAAAATCAGGGCTCAGATTAGGTCTCCACATTGCTGCTGGTTTATATGTTTTTTGTTTTTGCTGGTTTATATGTTTTAAGGCTCTTCTAATCTAGACGTTGCCCTCCATTATTTTTTTTCCCTTTTGCAATTTATTTGTTGGAGGAACTAAGTTATTTGTCCACTGGGGTTCTCCACACGTTGAATTCTGATGACTACATTTCTTTTTTTTTTTTAAGTTTATTTATTTATTTTGAGAGAGAGAGAGAGAGAGAAAACAGGGAAGGAGCAGAGAGAGAAGGAGACAGGGAATCCCAAGTAGGCTTTGTGCTGTCAGTGAAGAGTTCAGTGTGGGGCTTGATCCTACTATCTGTGAGATCATGAACTGAGCTGAAATCAAGAGTTTGACACTTAATGGACTGAGCCACTCAGGCACCCCTTGATGACCACATTTCTATGGTGAGATTTAACATGTTTCTTTATCTGCTTTATTTGTTGTGAATCAGTGAATGAGGAGAAAGAGAAGTTGGAAGCGAGGTCTGAGAAGTAATGAGGAGGGAAGATCATATCATGTAGGACCTTGTAGGGCATAGGAAAGACGTTGGTTTCCTATCAACGTTTAGTCAGTAAAACAGACACCACATCAATAATTTTAATGGAAAGAATATAAGAAACTGGCCAAGTAGGGGCACGTGGGTGGCTCAGTTGGCTAAGTAAAAAAGTGTCTGACTCTCGGTTTCAGCTCAGGTCATGATCTCATGGTTCTGTGAGTCTCAGCCCTGTGTTGGGCTCTGCACTGACAGTGCAGAGCCTACTTGGGATTCTCTCTCTCTCTCTCTCCCTCTCTCTCTACCCATCCCCTCTTACACTGTCTCTGTCTCTCTCAAAACAAATAAATATATTTTAAAAAATGGAAAAAAAAGAAACTAGGGTTTAGAAAAGATGAAAGAGAACAAGAGTTAGTGCAGAGATAGGAAGTGAGGGAGGCAGCTACCATCCTCAGGGCTGGGGGAACAAAGATAAGAAGAGGTCAGGCACTGACAATCTAGAACCTTGGAGAAGGATGCTCAGATCACTGAGAAGAGAGGTGGGCAGATGTGGGATCTTTGAAAGGGTGTGACAAAACTGTTGGAGGAGTATGGGAAAATGGAACCAAACTGGAAATTTGGAAACGTCTTCTCTGCCAGACCACCGGATGAAGGAAAATGCAGCTTGCAGAGTCCCAGCTCCAGCATCTCTTTTTAATTTAGGCATAAGGTTTTAAATTTGCACAAAGAAAATCCATTCTGTGCACAGTTCTGTGAACTTTCACAAATACATTGACTTGCGTCATCACCTCAATAGATACAAAAGTTTCATTGCTCCTCAAAAGTCTGCCATGCTTCTCCTTTGTAGTCAATTGCACCACTGCTCACCCCCGGAAACAACTGTTATGTCTGTCTGTATAGTGTATTTTTTATATTTTAAAATTGAGATATAACTGACACACAACATTGTATTACTTTTATGTGCACGACATAATAATCTGATATTTGTAGATATTGTGAAATGGTCACCACACTAAGTCGAGTTAGCATCCATCACTACACATTGTTACAATTATTTTTTCTTGTGATGAGCGAGACCTTTTAAGATCTACTCTCTTAGCTACCTTCAAATATGCAGTACCATAGTATTAACTATAGTAATCATGCTGTACATTACATCCCTAGGACTTATTTAGCTTATAACTGGAAGTTAGTACCTTTTGATTCCCTTCACTAAATTTGCCAACCTCCCCCATCTCCCACCTCTGCCAACTGCCAATCTGCTTTGTTTCTGAATTTGGCGTTTGTTTTTGTTTTTGTTCTCAATTCCACATATAAGTGAGATCATCCACTATTTGTCTTTCTCTTTCTGACTTATTTCACTTAGTGTAATACCCTCAAGGTCTACCCATGTTGTAACAAGTAGCAGGATTTCCTTCTTTTTTTGGTGAATAAAATTCCATTACACCTATATCTATATATTTCTCTCTCTGTATATATAAATGACGTGTGTGTGTGTGTGTGTGTGTGTGTGTGTGTATCACATTTTCTTTACCCTTCATCTCTCCATGGACACTTATTTCATTTCCATGTCTTGTGTATTGTAAATAATGCTGCAATGAACATGGGGGTGCAGAAACCATTTTGAGATAATGATTTCATTTCCTTCAGGCAAATACTCAAAAGTGTAATTGCTAGATCATATGGTAATTCTATTTTTAATTTTTCGAGGAACCTCCATACTGTTTTCCGTTGTGGCTATACCAATTTACATTCCCAAAAACAGTGCACAAGGGTTCCTTTTCTCTACATCATTGCCAACATTTGCTATTTCTTATCTTTTTGATAATAGCCGTTCTAAGAGTGGTGACATAATATCTCATCATGGCTGTGAATTGCATTTCTCTAGTGATTAGTAACGTTGAGCACCTTTTCATGTTCCCGTTGGCCATTTGTATGTCTTCTTTGGAAAATGTCTATTCATATCCCTTTGCCTTCTCCAGAATATCAAATAAATGAAGTCAGTATATAGCTTTCAGTCTTTTACTTAGCATAATGCATTTGAGATTTATCCATGTTGTTGCATGTATGAATAATTTGTTTCCTTTTATTGCTGGGCAGTATTACATTGTAGGCATGTACTATGGTTGCTTCATTTATCCCTTGAAGGATACTTGGATTGTTTCCAGTATTTGGAATTTATGAATTCAGCTGCTATAAATTTCTGTGTATAGATTTTTGAGTGAAAGTAAGTGTAGTGGGCTGGATGCCCCCCCAGATATGTCCATGTTCTAATCCCCAGAATATGTGAATGTTACCTTTTTTGGGAAAAGGGTCTTTGGTGATATAATTTACAAGGATCTGAAAATGAGGTCAGCTTGGATTGTATAAGTGGGTGTTAAATCCAGTGATATAGTCTTATAAGAGGTACACAGAGAAGATACACACACAGCAGAAGGTGAAGAGAAGACAAGAGGCAGAGAGTCACAAGCTGAGGAAGCCAAGTTAACCTGCAACCATCAGAAGCTATAAGAGGCATGGAGTGGATATTCCCCTAGGGTCTCTGGAGGGAGGAGAGCCCTGCTGTCACATAGATTTTGTACTTCTGGCCTCCAGAATGAAAGAATAAGTTTCTGCTGTTTGAAGCCACCAAGTTTGTGGTAATTTGTTATAGTATCCCTAGGAAACTAATGATTTTTTATTTCTTTTAGGTAAATACCTTGGAATGGGATTGCTGTCATTTGGCAAGTATATACATATATTTTTTTTCCTTAAAAAGTCTTTTATTTTCAATTTATTTTATTTTTTTAATTTAAATTCAAGTTAGTTAACATACAGTGTAGTATTGGTTTCGGGAGTAGAACCCAGCGATTCATCCCAACAAGTGCCCTCCTTAATGCCCATCACCCATTAGCCCATCCCCCACCCAACACCCCTCCAGAGACCCTCAGTTTGTTCTCTGTATTTAAGAGTCTCTTGTGTTTTGCTTTCTTCTATGTTTTTGTTTTTTTTTTAATTTTTTTTTTCAACGTTTTTATTTATTTTTGGGACAGAGAGAGACAGAGCATGAACGGGGGAGGGGCAGAGAGAGAGGGAGACACAGAATCGGAAACAGGCTCCAGGCTCTGAGCCATCAGCCCAGAGCCCGACGCGGGGCTCGAACTCACGGACCGCGAGATCGTGACCTGGCTGAAGTCGGACGCTTAACCGACTGCGCCACCCAGGCGCCCCTATGTTTTTTTTTA